AGGCCACAAGAGCCCAACACGGCAAATGGCATAAGGCGTGGCTGTGACCTCCGTCGAGCCTAGCACTTATGGCCTAGATTCGAGGCAATCTGTGTGTTGTTTATTTGATATCTCATGCCCATAATCACCTAACGTTGCCAGCGCATTCGGCAATGATGAATATACCTCTGAGCAACCTTCCATCTGTCAACATTCCCAACGACCTACACCCATTCCTTCTTTGCACCAGCAGTGGTTGTGGAAGCAGTGACACGTGCATTTGATGTTTCGGGATGCTAAAGACAGGGCATAAGAACTCAATATGACTCGATGAATGAGATACGGCATCCACCTGCTGTACATGGCCTAGATTCGCGACGACCTGTGAGTGGGTATTGTTCGGCGTCAAGTGAGTACCTCCCCATCTGTCGACATTCCAAACGACCCACGCAACAACATCCCTTCCTTCTCCCACACTTTGTAACACCAGAATGTGGTCCATGTAGAGAAGTCAGCACGGCAGTAGTGAGTTGTCCATCCGACCGCCTTCCATGTGCTCCATCTGACACACCTCCTGCGTTACAGAAGCAGACAATCATCAAACTTCACCCGTTGCTAACACCAAAGGATCCAATTACGAGATACCCGCAGATAGCTCGAGTACATATCATTGTGCGAAGCTCTCCCGTTGGACGCATCTCTCATGTTCTAGCCTGTTAGTTATGTTTGCCAATATAATGTGTGATCGGCGAGGACTCACCATCTATCTACGTTCCCAGCGACTCCCGCGCCACCCCCTTCCTTGATAAGCTTCGTGTCGCAAGTTTCCAGCATGGGCAATGGTCGTGACTTAGTTGTAAGGCAGCTCTCCCGTTTGAACTGTTCCAACGCGCCCGAATGCACCCTGCATAGTAGATAATTGAGGTGTAGTTCGTTTGCAGCACTGTGTCATTAGATAGAAATGAATATGACTTTGTGTGCAAACCAACCGATAAGTGGGGGTTGTCAGACGGTGATCTTGAGAGCTTGATGGCACCGCAAATAATGAGTTGAAGGTCACACCACTGAAAGTATCATACAGGTGAGTCATGCGCAGGTCGAATCAATGTTGATCATGATGTCGTCTTTGTACCGTTGGACGACAGTTGCACAGTGCAGTCTACTACCCACTACCTGCTTGGCCTGTAGACAACATGGGATGCTGACACGCTTCTCAAATTGCAAGTATCAGTCGAGATGTAGAATCACTCAGATACCCGACTGACAATGAGCCATAAAGCATCAGTGAATACCTGATCAACTATCCTAACATGGTGCAGTAATTCGTGTGTACTGTTCCCAAACTCGATCAAGTCCAAAATGGGTTCGGATATTGGTTTGCAGGCGACGCAAGGCTCCTGGGCAAAGAAGGTTATTCAATGGTAATTCTGTCGCAGTCTCAAGTTGCTGTCAGAATTTTGGCACTAGATTAAGATCGCATATGCCTGTCCCCAAAGTATACATGCAAGTAAATGTATCAAGCAGATCAAGCAAGAGATACAAGGTACCGCTGCACCATCCTTCCTGTTCGCTCTTTACTAATCTTTGTGATTACCTAGAGGCAAGACTTGAGAGATATTGATGTCTGTGGTAACGATGTGGTCTTGGTTTACTTAAACAGGACCAGGCCATCTCAATGCAAGCCACGAAGTTAAGTATGTTCGAGGTACTTGTGACCAACAGTTTGTTGCGATGAGTTCAACAAAATTCCAACACTGCAAACACCATGAAATGCAGTCAAAAATCTCCGAGCTTACTGTATTTACTTGAGGTCCTTCGTAGATATAAATTTATGAGCCGCCATGCTCAAATTATTGCAGACATTGCGTGTCGAAGTTCACAACAAATGTGTTCTCATTAAGGTAAGAGTATGTCCACATCCGGATGCCGTGGAGTTTACTCAATCACGCTTATGATTTACCGCACTATAGCACTAATACCCTTGTTCTTGACAGATTTCTCATTCAAGCCAACAGTAAATTTGAGTTCCTCAAAGCAAAGATACACTGAGCAATGCCAACACTCTGTACAACTGCGTTCAACGTACAGATCTGGTATACTTCGGGATAGACTCCGGTGAAATCAGTTGCTATAGTTCGCTTGGCTGCCTGATTTTTTAGGGTGGCTTCTTGATGCTGTAACGGCGCTGCGCTGGTACAGGTACATCTAGGTACCACAGGAGTGCGAACCTGTAGTAGGTGGAATTTTAGTATATTGCTGTAATTCCATGGAGGCAATGGTCTGGAATACTTGTTGTATCCTTACCGTTGCTGAGATCTGGACTCGGGCTACTGATACATATCTGTAGGGTATAATTCAACGGATAAATTTGCAAGCAGGTCTAGACGATGATATGGTGGCAATGTGCGGTTGCCACCATATAGTCTTCTAGATCTGCTTGCAAATCAGCGGTCAAGCGGCGGTGAACATTTGCTCACAGTTCACACAGAAGTGAATGTGGGATAGCTGTCCGTGATCGGAGACTTGCCGCCTCGACCATAGATTTATCTGGTAGGTAGCAAGGTACGTACACCCTTTGAAACATATAAATATTATCTGAGCAGGATAGAAGCTCACCTATTCCCTCGCATCAGCCGTCCATTATGCTGGTTAGGTGCGGGGGTAGCACTCGATTTGTCACCATTCATTGCCACAACACACTCTGCTGCTCTTGGTTGGACATCCGCACGCTCTCAAGTGACACCCCTTGCGACCCCCTGAATCACTGAACCCCTAGCAGGACACTCGGCGTAAGTTTTTGTCTTCATGTCCACAATGTTGTGCTCATAGTCTGCTCATCTTCAGGTTGCGAACACTGTGGGAGCACACCCTGTTCGCTGGTATTCATTGATCTATGTCTGTTGGATTGATTACAGGCATGTGGTGAGTTGCTCCGAGTTTATCAGTCTTACTGCTTTGGTGCTGAATCAATTGATAGACACGACTCGCCGCCTGGCAGTGACTAGTTTGACTGTGCTCTGCAATCTCAATGATACTGTTCGTTTTGCGATCTTCACACACCATCGCTATAACCTTCCCACACCCGGTTGCTGTATACTCTGTATACTGCCCACATACAAGATGGGACGCACATTTGAGCCTTGCTCCCAGGCTGTCGCATGCCTGCTGGATTGACATACACTCGAACGTTCAAGTTGTCAACATCCTTCGTCACCCTTCATCTCGCAGATCTCACGTACCCACATTGCGGAGCTGTTGTCTTGCAGCATCGTCACAGCACGCTGGTCCTTTGGTAGTCCTGTGTGTTTGGAATCAAGTAGAACATGTCGTACGTACCCTGGTTCACTGTGTAGTAGCGGATGCTGACTCTTTGTGTTTCCTTTCAGGGCTCTGTCTCATCGTCAACTCCCTCTCTGTGTTGCTGGTACAAATGGCGCCTCCGACTTTGCCTATACTCGCCGTCCATTATCTCGATCGTCACACATATTCCACAATCATCACAACAAAGACGTCTCTTTGGTAGTTCGTTGTCAACACTCCGTCAATTACAATGTCTGTGCTGTCATGGGGTTACGAATCACCTCATGTCCGCATGTCCGCCGCCACCTTACCTCTCCGGTTCACCGATTCTACAACCAATAGATCGCATCTGGTGCCCAACATCGCCGTACTTGTCCCCTGTACAATCCATGACAAAGATATCTTGTCAACAGTCGTCTGTGCATACGCTTGACACCACCTTCCAACACTTCGTTCCCTTCATCTACATCAAGGCTGGACTTGTTTGTCTTGCTGTGGACTTCGCAAGCCAGGAGTCTGACACACTGTTTTCCTCATTAGCAGCAAATAATCTCGCCTTCCCCAGACTCATTTCGCCTTTGCGCACCATTGTTATCCTGCTCGCCATCTTATTCCATCACCACTAGCATGGCTAGCTCGTTAGATCACATGCTGTGTCATCCCTCGGTGCTTCGTTCCCTTCCTCTGTATCGGTAATGGACTTGTTCTTGTTGACGTGGAGCCTGTGCCTTAGAAGCTGCATGTGTCGTCGTCCTTCGTCGCAGTGCATCATATCATCACCCCCAGTCTCTCTCCCCTTCATGTCAGCGCCGTATTATGGCATCAAGCACCTTCGTCGTCCTGCTTGTGATCCTTCGCCATCACAATGAGTCTGTGCACTCCCCTGCCCTCATCTTGGGTGTTGCATCACCCTGCGATGCTTCGTTCGCCTCCACGGAACTCGTATGCCAAGAATCGGATGCATCGCTGTCCTCAATGGCGGTGAATCATCTGGCGATGCCAAGACTTGTTTTGCATTCGAGCGCCGTCGTTATCCTGCCCGCGGTCTTGCGCAATCTCGACATTTAGGGTGGAACTCCCCAGTAGTCCTCCTTCTCTGCGAACCCTCCGGACTTTGCATTTCATAATCATGAGGTCCCAGTTTTGTTCCTGTGTTGACTTGTTTTCGACGCCTGCAGTGCCTCGAACGACGAGGGTGCAAGCAGGTTACAGGTGTCCGTTTCCCCAAACGAAGGCTTGGAAGAAGTTGACGCCGAATAGCCTTCTATGTGAGTTTGTTCATGCAGAGTGTCTTGGCGCGACTAACTTGGGATTTGCAGGTGGAGTTGCGTTCGCTGAATGGAGTCAACACGGCCACGTACGCCAAAACTAACGCAAGTTCGTTGCAGTGGGAAACTATGCCTCTACTCACCACCAACCTCCTCACAGGCCCGCTTGTCCGGTGTGCTCAACATGGGGAGACTAACGTAGTTTGAAGCCAGCTCACACCCACTCGCTCGATACACCAAACTGAGGAGACTATCGCCGTTTGGGGCCAGGAAACTGGTGCAAGGTGCTTGAAGGCCCCACCCGCTCGCTCGGTACACTGAACACGCCGCATAAGGGGAAACTATCGCCAATTGAGGCCAGGAAACGGGCGCTTCGCCTTCAGTGGTTTTCGTTCCCACGGTCAAAAATAGCTCATCCATTGCCATCTATGGTAGTCTCGTAGTCAATAACACTCAGCCCCTCATCTGTTTGACCAAAGAATCTAGCAACTCGATCACGAATGGCGTGTGCAAATGCACGTTGTTGAAGTTCTTCGTCATCAATGTTTCTGTCAAACAATCCAGTCAGTGAAACCCCCGGGTCGCACAGGAGCGCGCACTCTTGTTCTCCCGCCATTTATCGTGGATAGTGTCGTTCCAGATAACGTAGTGAGTGTGGTGCATCGCTTCCGCCAGCTGTAGAGACGTCAAACGAGGCCATCAGAACCGCCAGCCAACGCACCAGTTGATAATCCCCTGTGGTCACAAAATATCAACGAGACGACGAGACGACAAAAGCCGACAACTCACGCATAAAACCGCCTGTATCGTAGACTGTCCGACAGTCAGCATCCGATCCTCGCATGAATCGTCCATACGCACATTCCAGCACCGTCCCACCCGCCTTCATCCACATCTGGTGCGACAGCCCGTTCCCATGCACGCCCACCATAATCTGCCCGGTAGTCATGTCAAGCACAGTGCAGCGGAGGAGGGCGGCGCTTACATCCGTCCGTGTGCCGATGTCGAATTGCTCCGCCTTGGAGAGGTGCTCCATCTGCACGGAGTTGATCTCGACGTCGTGGTTCTCGCCGAACTTGGCGAGCGCCGTGACAAAGGCGTCGTGGTCTTCTTGGACGAGCTTCCGCCCCGTGGCCTGCCTGCGAGGGGTGAGGACCGTCGATCCCCGCGAGGGAGAGCAACGCACCGATCGATGTAGGTGATGACGGGTCTGCTCCGCGCATTGCCTTCGATGCCGATCCTTTGCATCAGCGAGTGTCGGAGAGGCGACCACCAGTCGAAAGGCGCTGGGGAGGCCATGATATCTACAAACGACCTTCATTCACGGCGCGAGCATAGAGGAACGGGCAAGCGCACCGGCGGTCATCTTGTTCCACACCTGCGCTTCACTCCCTGGGACTCGGTGTGCAGTCCATCGGTCGACAATGATGATCTCGGAAAATACATGCACCGAATTCGACTTGGCTCGGTCTAATCATCGTCTGGTTATTAGTGTGCGAGATAAGCGTCAACGCGGAGGTGAAATTCACCATAGATATCCTCCACGGTCGTGTTGGGGATGACCGTGTTCAGGAACCATCTATGTATTTGAATCCCTGTATGTACGGCCGGCACGGTGAGACAGATACGTACGTGTTAAGGTTGGCCCGGATGTCTCTCCAGTCGTCCCCTCGAGGCAGCATGAAGCGTGAGGGAGATACGGTGTCAGCAGTGGTATTCCCAGGATGTATATACCCGCCACGCACCAGCGAACGGGTTGGCTGCAAAGTGACTAGAAAATGTAAACAAGTTGTCAGTAAACTCGACACGCTTGCAGGTACTATCGTAGCTAGATCATTGCAAGTGAATGGAATTGGGGGAATATGTGAAATACCTCGCTTTCCAAGTAGCGAAACTAGTGGCAAGAACTCGAGATACATGTGGAAAAGGACATGATTTAACCACATTGAATGGCGGTGCCGTTGCTGGTGGATGGCCGACAAATGTGCCTGTTATTTTTCGGTTGAAACAGGCAGGTGGCAGAGAATCCTTGAACTAACTTGTCTAACAGTGGGAAGAGACGTGAAGGGATACAGATGTTTGAGTTGACGACTTGCTAGCAACAGATTGTCGCGCAACGTACGTACAGAACATCCCATTGCACGATACAGGCTCTGGAACATATCATACAGTGTGAGCACCATGAGGTACTCACTGAAACCAGGTCGCTTCTTGATGATTTTAGTCTCATGCTAATTGCACGTTCTGGCGAGTTCCTGAACATGCAAACGAAATGCAAGTTCGCCTTCGGAGAGACTCGTCGTTGTTGTTTGCCGCCGGCTTCTTCTGATCAAGGTAGGCGCCTCCGCTAAAGCCAGCGGTCCCACACAGGCGTTCGAGGCTCGCATTTGCTATACGCACGGACGTCCCTCCACTGCGTAGAAGTGCCACGGCGGCCAGTATGAACACAGTCGCGAACGAGCAAATAATATCGAGTTGACTGGCGCATTTGAGGGCGGTGAGAAAAGGCGGACTTGCCCAAATAGGGAAAGCAGTAAACGAGCAGCACGTGATGCCGAGCAAGGTGGGCAACGTTGTTCATGATTAAAACCGTGAATTCAGGCCAAAGTGGCATCTAAGCCACATATTGTGTCTGACTCCCAACGTCATCGACTCGAACACTCGAAGCATCGATCGCATACACGACCACGTCAAGCACTCTTAAGACTAGCTACGCACACACTATGCTACCTAGCCAGAAACTCTTCATCCTGCCAAACCTCACATACGCATGTCCACGACTATCCCACCAACACATCAACCCACGCGAAGCCATATCTCATGCAGGGCACTCACAGGGACAGACGGGAAAGACAATTCTGGCTAACCTCAACGCTCAACGTTCAGCTCCCCCTCCCGCGCATACAAACGACCGACGAGACTCTCCAAAGCGCACCTGCAGCGGCACCCAGAACGCCAGCGACCAACCACTGCACCAGGAACCATCCACTCACCTGCACCGCTACCAGCTCCCTCCTCCCTCCACACTGATACCTCCCCAACGCGCCCTTTGGTCCACTTCGCCGTCACAACCACCGATCACTCCTACCCATGCCTACACACCAAGACCCTGGCCACGCACGGCCTATTGTCTCCGCAGAGGTCAGCAGACGCCGAACGACCACCACAAACACCACAGTGAGAGTCACCAACACGATGGACGTCGACGCATCTCCCATCCGGCCGCCCAAGGGTCCAGGCGCTACTCACCATGGGGAACGACGAGGGCGAGTCCCCAGAAACGTCAAGGCTAGGGAACCAAAGCGGATATCAGTTGGCGATCTATCTCGCGCTGCCAGGTTGACATCGGCACTCACCAAGCGAAACTGTGAGGAGACTGAAAGTTGAGTGTGGTCGTCGGCATCAACATCGGGCTCTTCAAGCTCGAACACTGCGACGATGGGAGCGGCGAACGGCGGAGCGTCGACAGCTGAAAAGGGGGAACGGTTGAGGGGGCGATGACGACGAGAGGACGACGAAGCCGCGAGGACGACAAAGGGGAGAAGGGAGGCAACAGCGGAGAAGGGAGGGAAAGCGAGAAAGGGAGGATCAGAGGTATGTGAACGTTCAACACCGAACTGCTGTTGCCATTTCGCAGTGCTGATGTATGGTTTTTATAGTTTTCGAGCCCTCGATACCGAATGGGGTTGGGCGCTCGCGAACGCACCTGGACTCTCCCAACTCCCGCGAACTCTCCCAGACTCCGGACTCACCCCAATGTTTCCGAACTCACGCGTATCGCATCCTATCTCCATCGAAACACCCGACTTTCCCAAATGCGCAAACGTCCAAACGTCCAAATGCGCGAGGTCCTTTGAATTCGAGAGCGAGATTGAGATGCCAATCGCAATCGCAATCCCACGGCAATACCGCCAATCCAATACGCGTCGTGGTAACGTGTAACGGGGAGCTTTCGTTGAACGTCGATGTGGACGTGAACGGGAATGCGGATGTGAGCGTGGACGTGGACGTGGAGTGACGAGGCTGGAGGCTGGAGCGGCGACGGGATGCGATTTGCGATTGCGATTAGGTGAAGGCGGGAGGCGGGAGAGTGAAGAGTGAGGACAAAGAGTGGGGAGTGAGGACGAAGGGGAATGGGAGGTGAAACGGGGTGGCTGTTACGGCAGTCCAGACGCTGCACTGGCGCGTACAGAAGAGATTGATTCGTGGAGAGATTCGGGGTCGCAACTACGCAACCAGGACGGAAATGCGAAGGGCAAATGGGAAATGGGGATACGCCTACGCCTACGCCTACACGGGCAGCTTCGTTTACGGCGGTGCGAAGAAAGGAAGGGGGGAGTGAAGGAGGAAGGGGATGTACGGAAGGGGTAAACGGTGAATCGTGAATCGTGAATGTTGAAAGTAGGCAGAAGATCGGGAGATGTGGCGATGCGGAGATCACGTATGTACGTGGGCATGTGGGTGTGTGGTAGGTCTACACGGTCATATGTATTATCGTTGATTAATTGATCTATTTCGGGGTTGTTTTTGGTTTACTTCCTGAATCCAGGCGCAGTCGTGAGTGATGCAAGCGCGGTTCCACGGCGGCGCGATTGTGTTTCGTTTGCAGAGTTCGCGCGTGGGAGGTGGTGGGTAACGTACTCGTGTGTGCGTGTTGGACGGGCAGACGAGACGAGACGAGGCGAGGCGAGGCGAGGCGAAAGAGAACAAGGAGCGTCGCACCACGACCAGCGCAATTTTGGGGTGCTACCATCTACACAACAACTCGGTGTGCGCATAATACGGCGCGACGGCAAGACTTTGCAATGCGAAGACGGCGAGGGAACCCATCATCAGGACACAAGTCCCTGATGGCAACGTTTCTGTCTCCGTTTGGGCGGCGAACTGCGGCTGGACGTTGAGCGGAGATGGCGTGCGTGCGTGAAAGGTTACGCCCTCGCCCTCGCCCTCGCCCTCGCCCTCGCCCTTTACCCTGCCCGAGTTGATTCTGGACGCACACGAACGTTCGACGGACGGGTGGAGGAAATGGGTTACGCCGAAACGAAATGAAATGAAGCAAATTGGGATGCGGGTAACTTGTGAGTTTAGATATTCTGATATCCCGATCTTATCGTTCGCCGTTCTGTTCTTTGCATGCGAAGGCAGCGCGCCTGCAGCGAAGCGTTGATTGTGATGAGATCCTCGTGCTCATGTTCTAATTCGCAGGCTATGCGCAGCACTTCACACCGACATCTGGATCCCAGTCCTTCCACGTACGTTGAAACACATCGAACTCACCAAGCAAGAACTTGCGTAACGCCGCCCGAACGCGAACGTGGTTCCCCTCCCACATCAATTCCATGTCTACGTACACGTACGCGCGACGGAGGCGGATGTTCCACGGGTGCCACACGCGATTGGGCGCAGTGGGTGCAGGGGACCGGGAGACGGGGTGGGTGTTACGGCAGGCGACGGACACGATTCGGGGAGTATGTACGTGTACGTTCTCCAGAGCGCGACCTCGCAACCGGGACGGAAACGCGAATGGGGATTCGGGTACGGCGTCGGCGGTAGCAATAGCTCAGCAAATGGGGATGGCGGAGGGAGGCGGTGGCGTGACCTTGGGGATGCACGTTGCACATGGAAGATCGTGTAGCGATTGTGTATGGATGTATGGATGTATGGAGGTAAATACGCTTTTGCAGTTATGTAGTGTTCTGATTGACGTTGATTTACTTCCTGGATCCAGAACGTCAGGGCGCGAAAGGTGGAGACGCTGTGAACGTACTTGCGCGTGCACGCATGCGTGTGCTTGACGGAGAGACGAGGCGAGACACGACGAGGCCCACGTCGAGAATACACGATACGATACGATACGATGCGGGACCAATCGACTGCGCTGCCGTATGGACAACAGATGCTGGTGCAATACGGCAACGATCTGCGTCGAAGCTTGCCCTGATTGTGCGCAGGTTCGGTTATCCATTCAGGAAGTTGCTCACGATTTGAGATGCAGGGACATTGCGTACATACGTGACGAACGAACGACGGAAACACCCCAGGGGAGTTCACGCGACAGATGGGCGATACGATAGCCAGGGGATGCGGCGGGCACATGTGCTACCCTCGGTGCTGATTAGAATCCCCAACGGGCAACTCAGAAGCACAAATTGGGCGGGATACAGGTATGCATCCACATTGATTTCGCTGGGAAGAGCTCGTGTTCGAGAATTTCCAGCGCCCAGAATCTCTAACGAAACAGTCCGAATCGCGGGCAGGTACAAACAAGGATCTAGACATGTACGTTCACCTGGTTATTTCGCTGGGAACGCCCTGATGCTGACACCAGAACGATTAATTGATTTTCAGACATAGATCCATGGCAATGTAATGCCGAAGCCAGTGAATTACTGCGTGTCGACGCATCCGCTCGGCTATGTGGTTGTGCAGGGTCAGTGAACCATACACGATGGTAGGACTCGAGATTCGAACGGCAAGGGGCTTGCATATGGGCGGGAAGGAAACACTAAGAGAGCCTGTGGAGCAAATTGTCTGAGTCATGGCGAGAATGCGACCATGCCAGCCATCTCACGATACCACGATTGGAATGCAAACCAACTCCAAATTCACTTGGAGGCTTCTGTGTGGCGATGGGATAATGCTGCTTATTTGTGCGTACTTGACGCCTCAGTATTGACCCGAT